AAATGGGCTTTCTCATCTCAAACAGATATCTAACTCAGAGAACTCAGGACCTCCATGTGGATGCATACTTCTCTTTTTGTACCTCTTTTCTTATATTATATTTTATATTGGTGAGAAGATTCATGCGAACTTTGGTATTTATAGATGATAATTTCTGAAATAATGAGTTTAAGCAGTAAAGTGTATTTGCAGAAGTGAATATAATCGCTGCTGTTGGTAATAATGTTGGGAATGGTCTATATGAAAATCAAGCATGCACCTCAAATGTCTTTATTTTCATCGTGGTGAGGCTGTGGTCCGTTAACAAATCTGGCATGAAATCAAAGTGTCAAGTACAATGACAAGAAGACAGGAAAGTCATTAAAACTCCATCCTAAAAAGTTCAGTTGAAAAACACCACATTGAAAATTTCAAGTACAAAAGACATCATTACCAGAGCTGGAGAATCAATCAGAAAAAATAGTAGTTGGCAAAGGACATCATTTACCTGCTGTCCTTCAAACCGGGTTTGTACTTTCTTCCAATTTGGTGCTGTCAATCATTTTTCAGTAGCAGATTTCACACTTGTCAAATGATGGACATCTCAGATCGCCACAAACTTTGTGTCAACACTGAAGTTAACAGGAACAAGACCCATTAACTCCCATAAAGGCACTCAGTCTGCTCTGAACACAAGTTATATTCATACGCTAAAGATATTAACGTTTCTTCAGAGACAAACACATTTAAAAGTTTAGCTTCGCTTCTACAGTTTACGTATTTAAATCTGAATTCAATTCTTTGGATTAACTATTAATAAAGGTATATAAATAAGTTATAAGCTAAATTAAATTTATGATTTTTGTTGTAAAAAAAATGGCTTAAATGACGATCTGTAATGTAAAAATGTTTGTTTTAGATACAAATTTACAATGATCACCTACGCTCCTCAGAAATGTGCAACGTTTCACCATTTAGTGTTTTCCTGATGCATGCTCAATAATCCAGGCTGGACGGATGCAAAAAGTAAAAAAAAAAAGTAAAAACAAAATCATCGTTTATTTTTGGTTTTATTTTTTACTTTTTGCATCTGTCCAGAGGACCTGATTTAACTTTATTACATTTAGTGTTTTATTTATTGATTTTGTTGCTAAAACTTCTGTCTGTCAGCAACTTCTGTGTTGCTGTCAGTAAACTCAGGTTCCCAGCTCTCAGGTCCAGAACCATTTCTCAGTTTGAATGTTTTACGCTCTAATTAAACAAAAAGGAAATTAGCAGTGAGCTTGTGAAGCTAGAAGAATGCAGTATGCTTATGGGGCTGCTTATTAAAAAAATATTTTGTTTACTTATTTACAGCATAAAAAATAAAACATAAAATGGTTAGACTTCAATCCTGTGAACAGACACATTTCTCCAGTTACAAGTACTTGGGTGTACACCTGAATGACAACCTCAGCTGGAGCAACATCATTACCAGCCTGATCAAGAAAGTTCATCAGAGACTCTACTTCCTCAGGCGGCTGAGACGAGCTGGTCTGGGAAACTCAGTCCTCACCTCCTCCTACAGGTGTGCAGTGGAGAGCATCCTGTGCTCCAGCATCAACGTGTGGCATGGAGGCTGCACAGCTGCAGAAAGAAAAGCTTTGCAGAGAGTGGTGAAGGCTGCACAGAAGATGTTGTGGTCAGTCTCCCCACCATCACAGACACTTACACCTCTAGATGCAGGAAGAGAGCCATCTGCATCCTGAAGGACCCCACTCACCCAGCACACACACTTTTTGCCCCACTCCCCTCAGGAAGGAGGTTAAGGAGCATTAAGTGTAGAACCACTAGACCAGTCCTTCTCAAATAGTGTTTTTTTCGTACCATTCTCATTTTGTCGTGTGCGTTCCGGGCCGGCAGCTGTCTGCTTGTATCTCTCAGACTGGCTATTAATAAAGTTATGAACAAATATGACTGTCTTGTTGTTTTGGGAGCCATGCTTGAACCGTGTTGCTCCCCTCTGTTGCTGAGACAATAGATAAACTCCTCCGACACCTCCTTAGTCCTCCGCTGCTGTTTCATACAGAGCGTCATAAAAACAGCAGAGGACAGAGGAGGTGTCGGAGGAGTTTATCTATTGTCTCAGCAACAGAGGGGAGCAACACTGCTCCTTATGGCAAGCTCTTAAATACATGAATAGACACATTTACAACACTTCCTCGTGTAAAAAAAGACGAATTATGCCTTAAACTCTGGCCGTCACTCATGTACTGTGTACATAATTTCATTCCACCACATGTACCACATGTGATGCGTATGACAAATAAAGAGCTTTGAATCCTTGAATTTGCACTGATGTAATTCTGTTATCTGAATGTGTAAATTAACCATATTATGCTAACATGTTAGCCCATAACGTGGCTAGCGTGTTAGTAAAAATACTACCAAATTTTGGTTTGACAGACAGTGTTTGAGCAACACATCCTGTTAGCACTCAGAATATGTCTTTAAGACAGAAATGTTTATAAATTTTGGTGAAATTACAGCCATTTTTACATTTGGTGATTTGGCCACGGCAGCCATTTTGAATTTTGTTGACAACAAAAATCAGTTGTAGACACACAATTAATGTGTACCGCTTCAAATTTCATCCATCCAGTGGTTTCTGAAATATTTTGCTAACAGACACACAGACACAAGTAAAAACATCGCCCGCCTTTTGTTTTAAGGCAGCGGACAAGGACGATAACTACCTTCAGTTTGTCTGATATGGGCTGCATGTTTTTGATCAGTTTTCTAAGATATAATATATATAAATGTAAATTGTATCATTGTATAATATGAAAGAATAGTAATTATAACATTTTAGTTAGAATAATTCTTCAAAAGAACATTTAGCTCTCAGTTAGGTTTCACATTTTCAATAACCGGATGTGACCGGGTGTTCTTTAATTTGGCTGACATCGTTTTGGTTTTCATTGTCATCCATTTTAAAAACGTTTTATATTTTCAATATCTCTCAATAAAAATTAATATGTCAATGGGATTGCTGAAGAGTTGCAATATCTTGTACTTGTAGTTTCTGTTGTTTTGACCTTGAAGCTGCTCTTTCTGTAGTCGAACCTTAATTATAATCAGCCGTTGTTGTTATAATGAATATAATGTTATGATAAGTTTTGATTAAAACCCATATTTATATCTCCTGAACATGGCTGCTGCTGCAGTTAGACTGACTGTCGGAGAAAAATATTCTTACTTTATCTTACTTATTCAAAAGGAACCACACTCAATGGCAGGAGAATATTTTTAACAGTATTTCAAGGTTCAAGGTTTTTTATCGTCATTCGCATCACATGTGGTACATAAGGTGGAACGAAATTATGTACTTTGGGTCCCAGTTATACACAATTTCCTTGTTCATGTACAGTATTTTACTTGCAAGGACAGATTTTCAGGAAGAGTTATACAGATATACAGGAAGTACACACAGATATACCGGAAGTTCACACAGATATACAGGAAGTACACACATATGTACCGGAAGTAGTGTTGTAGTCAAGACCACCTAACCCAAGACCAAGACAAGACCAAGACTTTTAGGTTTCGAGTCCACGTCAAGACCAAGACCTCAAGTCTTGGAGCTCAGTCTTTTCACAGATTATCTGTCTTATACTATACTGTCATGATATAGTAACAGTTTTAACAAATATGTAAAAACATATGTAATTTATAAAAATATATTTTTTAAAAGTTACATACTGCAACTTTGTTTGCTTTTGAATGAATGTATCAGCTTTTATAAATTTTCAAAGCTACATAACAAATAAATCAGACATTCAGTGGTTTTTGCACAATAGTTTTCGTGACCCACTGACACAAAACTTATGTTAAACTACGATACTCTACTAGACCTGACAGACGAGGCACCTGCATTTATTTCTTATTTTAAAGCAATTTCTAATTTTACATAATTTACTTGTTCAAAACTCATGGTTCTAATTTGTTGATGGTCACTAAGTGAACCATTACGTCTCGGAGGAGGGGCAGACTGAGCGCTGCTGACTGAAATCAGACTGTTTGCTTCGGCTCGAACGAGAGGAACACACCGCTGAAGCCACAGAGCTCGAATGTCCAACGTCCAACGTAAAACTAACTTCCCCGTGGTAGAGAAACGAGGCTCCAGAACAGTTTAGAAACCTTTTGAAACGAGACAAAAAAAGCAGTTTATTAACTGATTAAGTTGTGTTTTAGACTACTTATTGCTAGAGAATCTATTCTGACTCAAAGTGCAGCTGTGACTGGTTCTGAATGGCGGCTTTACAGCAGACAACCCCTCTTCCAGGTAGCTACCGGTGCAGAATCTTTCAGTGGTACGCAGTACTGGACCGTATCGGCTTACTTTCACCCTTGGTTGCGACATTACGTTCTGCTGTCTGTATTGTTCTGTTGGCACAGAACCACGTGCGAGTGAAAGGGGGTGGGCGTGACAGGGGTAACAAAAACATGTATTTAGCAATGAGTCACGTTATCACTTGGATTTTAATAAGTACGTTTTGCATCCAATAAAAACAAGTGTGTTAACAAATAAACTGGACAATATTCTGGCAATTTAGTGATATTTCCACATTTGTGGTCTTGACTGGTCTTGAAATAAAATCCAGAATCCTCAATGTCCGAGACCGAGACAAGACCAAGACAAGACCAAGACCAAATGCAGTCAAGACCGGTCTCGAGTACTACAACACTAACCAGAAGTACACACAGATATACAGGAAGTCCACATGAAGACCAGATTCAAAAGGATCTGCCACGAGCTGCGTGTTTTTGTTGTTGTTGTTTTAATGTGTTCAGCTGAGCTCACAGACTCGGGAGCGTCCTTGACACGACAACCGCACGCTGCAGCCTCCAGCTCCTCATCCAGCTCTAACCCAAACATATGGTTCATGGGCAGAGAACATTCTCAGCCATAGTTGTTAAAACATCTGTTACCTTTGACCAAAAACCCCCTAACACTGACTTCTTTCCTTCTTGCTCTGCAGGCGTGTGTGTTGGAGTGTGAGGGTCATGTCTCCTCTTCCCTCACGTGGGAAGTGTGCAAACGCGCAGTGAAGCTGTCCCAGCATGCTTTGCTCTCTGAGGAGGGCACGTGGCTGCAGAGAGCAGGAGAGGAGCTGACCCCTCTTGACCTGAACGCTGACGACGAGGTGCTGCAGTCCGCAGCCACAAAGCGTTTCCCAGAGGAAGATGTGGGTGAGATGGCCTCGGAGCAGCGCAGCGTCCAGTCCGACTCATCGTTGCTGGAGTCCTCGGAGGAGGGGGGTAGCCTGCAGGGCCTCCGCCCGGCAGGTGGAGGCAGGGAGGAGAGGGACTCAGGGAGCGATGCCCAGCTCGAAGGGGAGCGGTACGACAGCCCAGAGGCCGTCAGTTTATTCAAACGCTTCGGTGGCTTTCAGAGGGGGCGTCACAGCTACAGGAAGCTGATCAGCTCCCCCAGGAGGCCTCTACAAAAGCGCTACGGCGGCTTCATAGGTGTCAGGAAGTCCGCCCGCAAGTGGAACAGTCAGAAGCGGGTGAACCAGCTGCTGAGGCAGTACCTGGGCATGAGGAGCAGCCGCAGCGGCAGGTTCAACAACAACATGCCCGTCACTCGGGTGTGGAGGCAAGACAAACTGTAAGAAGCACTCATCCATCTTTTTGTCCCCCCCAGTTCAAACTGTGACGTCAACACCGTGATGAGAACAGACTCCATCCTTGTCTAATGTTTTGGTCGTGGTGTCCCTCTTCTTACACATGCCTCTGTGAAATAAAAGATTTAGAGACGTGCACTTGAATATATTTTTGTGTGGGTTTAATAAAGTTGAGCCAAATGGAGTTGTGCTTGTTCAGACTTTGGGGGAGGTCTCTGCAGTTTGTTGCACTCTGCACAGTGGACGTGACTAAACTTGTTTGTGAGGTTTTTACTTGAAGAACTCGTCTGTAGCTTCGACTGAGCCGATCTGTGGTTTACCTGCAGCAAACGTCGGCTCAGATCAAGTCATTAAATTAGAGCAGCGTTTCTCAGATAGTTCAATCAGGTTCAGAGCGCTGAAGCCCAAACTGTTCATTACAGATAATTAATTCAACTCAGTGGAGGTTAAATTGGCTTTTTGAACTTTGGAAACTTAACGTAACTGTTTGTGCTGCAGAAATCAAAACACTTTTTAATCCTGTCGTGTCTGGATTTTGTTGAAGTGGGAATTTTCACTGAATGGATGAATTTTCCTCCCAGGAGGAACAAGACTGACCCCCAGTGTTTCTGGGTGGAAACATCCAGAGACAGGCTCATGATGGGATTAAAACTACAAACGTAGAAAAAATTCTCAACACAATATGAAAAATACAAAAAAGCAATAATGTAATTTTATATTTGGACACAATAAAAAAGCTTTTTGTGCCAATCTGATGGTGACAATGAGATCACAACCTTTTAAAAAATACATCAAAACGTATTTAAATATAATTTACAGAAATTTATGAATAAAAGTTTACACAAGAGCAAATCTGACGCATGCTGGCACATTTTCAGCTGCTCTGATTAATCTTTTATATACGAGTCAGGGCAGAGGTCATCATGGTGCATTAAAGAGGTGTTCTCTTTATTTTGAAATGGGATTCTGTAGGAAGGTGATGAACAACTAATATCTTACCTGTTGCAGATCGCTCCGTGGATGACCTTGGTTTAAATCTGATCAGACTGACGAACTACTGGCTAGTCAGAGTGGACACTTCCTGCTTACACCGGCAATAAATAAATTAATGTGCACTGAACAATTGTAAAGCTTTAAGGCAGGGGTGTCAAACCCACTCACAAAAGGGGGCCACATTTAATTTTTTTTTTTTTTCAAACTAAGGGCCAGTTTCAGAATCTACATCAACTCAAGTTTATTTATTTATTAAGTTTATTTGATAGGGACTGACACACAATAACAGACAAACTGAATAAAGCAGTAGTCCCATGCCTGGATCATGGTTCTTATAGCACAAGTTAATTTTCAGTACTTGTCCCTAGATGGGCTTTTATACACAATATCTAAAATACTATTAAGAAGTTAGAACTTAGATACCCAACATCTTTTCTTGGTTGCAGGTTGGTTCCTCAACAACAGTTTGATTGGTCTCATTTGACGTGCTCTGTTCTACTTTTGACCTCATAATTAAAGAATACTGAAAAAATTAAAGTGAGAAAAGTATTTTACATTTAAAATATCATCTTGGGGGCCAGATGTTAACGAGGGCCACATTTAGCCCCCGGGCCTTGAGTTTGACACACATGCTTTAAGGTAAAGTTGCATGAACCGCTGCAAAGCCGTTTTATGACATTGCTTTGGTCTCAGCTCAGCTCTGACTAGCCATTAGCTCATCAGTTCAAACAGGTCATCCAGAAAGCAATCTACACATAAAGTGTGAACTTTTACCCGGAAACTCAATAAAAATCATATATATATGTCAAAAATTAGGACTATTTTTCTGATTTCTTCGATATTTTGATGAACAGGATGAGGCATTCAGAGCAGTGATGGGGGGTGGGGGGCAGGGTCATAGAAGGAAAATGTTAATTTGTTGCATCACAAGCAGGTCAAAGCTTTTACCGTGTTGAAGAGTCTGATTGAAGTACTGATGAGTGCGACATGTATTTCTGTCAACATAGAAATTAGATTTTTTGTGTTTACTTCATGGAGTCATGGAGAAAAGCTGTAAAAACAAATAAATCAAAAATAAAAGAGTTTGCTATTCATCTGGTGGACTGTTGTGCAAAACAAAAGACAAAACATCTTTAAATTATCAGTGCTTTGTTAATTTAATTTATTGTGTTTGACAATATATTTCCTTTAATACAAACATGTTCCACAAAAAAAGTTTGGATCTGACTAAAGTCTGGATCTGACTAAAGTCTGGATCTGACTAAAGCCTAGATCTGACTAAAGTCTGGATCTAACTAAAGTCTAGATCTGACTAAAGCCTGGATCTCACTGGGACTGTTGGAGGAAAAAACACAAAAACTTTCATTTGGAATCAAACTGAGTTGGCTTATATGTTTGCATACATTCAAACATGCAAAAACAAACTGTGATGTTCCTGCAAATCATGCAGATATTTTGTTGCATTTTAGTCCCGTTTCTTAATTATGTCTCAGTTTGGTTGCAATTTATTCTTGTTTTAGTCTCCAGTCAGTCACAATTTGTTCTTGCTCTTTCTGAATCATGGAAACGGTTAGACAGTAACTTGGAGACATAATTCCTTCTGAAAGCAAATGGCAGCCAACAGTTTGAGCCCAGTGAGATACGCAGTTAATGCTCGCCCCGTCGCCATGATTCCAGCTCGTCACGGAGGTTGAACACTGGTTGTGCGCCGACAAGCGGGCAGGAAGGAAATCAACGTCATGGAAGGAATTTGGTTGAGTCAAACCAAACATAGCTTATTCGTGTGTGTTACTAGTCCAAGAAAGTGCCAAAAAACATTAAAAAACAAATCAGTCTGCCCAAAACGCAGGCTGAACAGAACGATTAAAAAACAAAAAGGTATAAAATACTCGCATGTAACTGAAAGCACACAATATAACGTACATTATAACCACTGTGAGACCACTGGAAGAAAGAAAACAGCTGAGCAGCAGTCTAATAAGACAGTGGAGCCACAAATATGACATTTGGATAAAAAAAGGGGGAGGGGCTTAGCACATCACATGGTCAAAGTGAATCAACAGCACCATCGAAGACTTCAGTTTTGAGGATCAGGATGCAAAGAGACAAAAGTTTATTTGCATTCATTTTAGGATATAAACAAAGAACAGAATAATAAAAAACAGAGAAACGTAAAACTTGTTTTGTTTGATGGCTCTTGAGCTCTTGAGCTCTTACACGTATTCTTTTTTTCCCTGTGATAAAAGTCCGTTAACTATCATTCGTCCACCCCACAGCGGGGTCTAGTCGGGGAAGCGCTGACAGGCCTTCTTCCAGCGGCAGGCCGTGCACCACTGATCCTTGCGTTCCACTCCGTACACCTTACGACACTTTTTGGCCTCTCCACGCCCCTTCCTGTTAAAACAGACGCTTCGTGTCATCAGTTATTTAAAAACTGTGGTTCATTTTTTCTTGGGGGGATGGGGGGCTGTAATACCTGAAGGAGCAGTGTGTGCGTGAAGGCGACGCAGTCATGGGCTGCAGTCGGTTCTGTTGGAGCCACTGTTCCCCGACACTGACAGACCGGCAGCGAGGTTTCACCATCTGAGCAGACAAACAGCGGTCCAAAGAGAACGAAGGATGAGAGGCGTGCACGCACACGTGCACAACAAACAGGAAAACAACACTTAATCCAGAGACCATGGCGCTTCTTTAAAAAACATCTTCTAAATCAACACGTTTGGTTTGTTCTCTACATCATGTTAGACGTTCTCTAAAAGTTTAAAACTGCTTTTCATACATTTTATGGAAAGTCATCACGGAACATCCATGTCCCACCTCCCTGACGGGTCTGAAGAGTGAATGTTTGTAGTTTTAGAGATGAGTGCTTTTCTGGACTAGAACTGAACAGAAAATGAAGTAAACCTAAATGTTTTTGGTGTAAGATGTTCACGTGTGTAGGAGTTACACTGGAGAAGAATAGAGCTGTTTCCCCTCCCACTACCCAAGGAAGGCGCCCCACCCTGTCAATAGAACAGAGCGCCCTGCCCACTGAAATCTAACTCAACGGTCCATTTACGTCTTAAAACTCATCAATCCACCTACATCTCAAGACTCAATGGTTCACCTAAGCCTAAAGACTCAATGGTCCACCTATGTCTAAAGACTCAACGGTCCACCTACGTCTAAAGACTCATGGGTTCACCTACGTCTAAATACTTGTAGTGATGCAGGGACAGCTTTGCTGTAGACACACTACTAATTAATTATTCTTAAAGCTAGTTCAAGCACAAAGAATATTAATTGTTTAATTACAACGGATTCTTTCTTTTTCGAGTTAAATTTCTGCCATGTGACCGAGATAACTGTGAGGATTGTTTAATCAGTGACATGAGACGCCATTTTATCTTTGACCCATCAGAATAAATGCGGTCATTTATTCAACAGAATCAAAATTTAACATCAAGACATGTACACATTGATTTGCTGATCTGTTTCTGATTAATAAAAACTTGGCACGCTTTACTAACAAGACAACAGAACATTACTGATTGAGGCTGATTTACCTCTGAAGGCATCTAGATTACTGGCAAATAGAAAAGTTTAAGAGAAGGAATAGATTTAAAAGGAAGATGGATGAAGGAAGATGGATGTTTGTTGACCAGAATTAGCACTCTTCTTTCAACACCAGCTCAACCTTCCGGTACACTTCAGGACATGCAGAGACTTTGTTACCTTAGATGGGGGCTACCTCCACTCCAGAACAGAAGTCCATTAGTACTATCCCTTTACAGCGTCTCCGGTTAAAGCGGCTGGTCATCGTCAGAAGTCGTGTGGTTTACTCCGTTCAACAGAACAAGCTTCCTTCGAAGTTGTAGGGCGTTACGCCCGGGTGAGTTCACAGCGAGGCGCTGTGACTCCGCTGGGATGGACGGACCCTCGTCTCATGGACAAATCCTTCAGCTACTGATTAAATCTGAAAGTTCCTTAGGAACTCTCAGTAAGACTCCAGCCAGAGATTCCACTCAGAAGTGGAAGACTCCTGGGAAGACTTCATAGACTGAACGAAGACTGCAAGAAGACTGAAGGAACACTGAATGATCCCAGGAAGTGTTGACTTTTTAAAGAGTACTCACTTCCTGTCAATTGGTACTTCCTGATTGGTTGAAACAACCAGCAAGGGGGTGGTTCTAGTGATGTCAGAGGGTTATTAAAAGTCAAAAGACAGCAGGAATGTTTAGGAACGGTTAGTACAGACGGAGAAAAATATTTTGAAGTAGTGAGAAACTTTGCAGGTGCCAGCTTCTTATTTACTGTCTGCTAGTTTAAAAACAAGACACTTCGTTCTAATAACTTGTCTCTGTTTGTCTCTGACTTTCGACCGACATCCCTGACTTCTGACCGACATCAAATCCACTCATTCAGACAGAAGATCAAAATGCACACTTACTTTGTAAATAGACATTTAACTTGATTTCTAAGTCTAATGAGGTTTAAAAATCATTAATACTGTTTCACAGTTGATTTAAATGAGTGGTTCACTTCAACATTTAGAAATGGTATGAACTAAACACACTTTTGATTATCAAGATATTCTAAAATAGTAATGATAATGTAAAAAGGAAGAGTGTTCTTTCAATTGATTAATTCAGGGTACAATTAAATAGTCTCTTGATGAGATCATTTGTATTTCTGGATTCAGCTCAATGAAATAACAGTTCCTGTCCCCTGAAGGTCTTCAGAGACAGGTTGAGGTCGGAGGCCTAGTTCACTACAGTTCCCCCCTTTGGAAATCATCGCCTGTCCATGGGGATGAATTCCAACATGAACTTACGCCTCCGAATGTCCTTGATCTTGATGTAATCCAGCAAGAGGAAAACAAAAGTCAAAGAAGGTAATCCCACAACGGTTTAGGTAATTCCACAATGTTGTTGGTAATTCAATAATGTTGTTGGTAATTCCATTGCAGCAACGCTTTAACCCCTTGAAAACAAAGTCTGTAATCCATTGGAAAAGTCATATAATCCACAACGATAAATCCACAACGACTGGAGGTGTTGATTGATCAGCATGCAGAGAAGTTCCTTCGATTGAACTGCAGAGGCGACCACTGGATGGAGTTTGGAGACCCACGTTGGAGTTGTAGGTCCCTTCAGCGAAGGTTGCTGCTGGTGGTTCCCAGTGGGTGCCATTCTGGTTCTATGTGTTATGCATTTATGTGGTTTTAGTTGGGCTTATGAGTGGGATTTTACATAAGACCTTAACCTAAATGCACCTGGTGTGTAAGCTATCATGGTTTAGATCAGCCACAGGTACCAGTTAAATGGTGGGTCATGCTGAAAAATTATATATAGGGATTTATACCTATAGAAGGGCATTCCAAACTATTCTTCCATTCCTAACTTGGTTTAAGTTAGATTTACATGGCAAAATATAGTTTGGTTCAATTGTCTGTTGTCCCTTTAGACGAACGACTTGAGGTTTGGTTTTTTGGTTTCCCCCCCTAAATGTTTTTGGAGTCTATGGCGAGACTCAACTTAAGGATTAGCTAGCCCCCCCAAATAGGATTGTTCGAGTAGGTTTGGCTTGAGCGTCGTGAGACCAATGTAGGTTATGGTACTTAAGGTAGCATTAATCTACATTGACTCCTCAAAGGTTGAAGTTTAACAAATGAACTGCATGTTGGCATAGTTAAAGGCTTCTTAGTCTCTAACTAAAGTACACACAAAATTAATTCTTGCTGGGGGTGTTCAGAAACAATACCAAAAACCAAATAAACGATGTCTCAACATCAACAACAGTAGTGATCAAGCAACCAGAAAAACAATGTTTCAACATCGACAAAAGTAGTGATTAAGCAACTGGAAACAACGTTTCACTGCAACACTCACTCTGATTGTCAGATTCTATCACATTATCACGTCTGAGTTGTTATCTTAACACTTAATCAAGCTTGGACTTATTTAGTTTCTGAATGGACGACCTTTTTTCCCACGAGGTCTGAGTTTGTGAGGTCTTTGTCTCCTGTGGAGTTATTGAACGCCTTATGTAGTTTAACCTGGTTTCGATGTACCATTTAACAATAGGCTCTTTTTGGCCTTTGCTGATTTAGATCTGGTAGACAACTGGAGACAGTTTGTTATCAGGTGGGGTCCAGTCCACCTGGGCATCAGTTTGCGGGCGAGAATTCCCAGACTCTCCTTTCCCGGTTGTGGGGGCGAACGTGTAGTACCAGACCCTATCTCCCACTTAGAGTTCCTCGTGAGAGGCCTATTGGTCATAGTACGCCTTTCATCCTTCAGCGGATTTTTCCAAGTTTTTCTGGGCAAACGCAAAGGTGTTTTTAAGGTGTTCTTCCAAGTCATTCATGTATTGTTGTGTGGTGTAGGCTGTTGCCATGGCGGCATCGCCTGGTTGGTACAACAGGTGTAGGAAGAGAGTCATTTGTCGACCCGTCATCATCTCGAAGGGAGAGATGCCAGTCGATGTGTGTGGAGTGGCCCTTATGGCCACGAGGACCAGAGGGAGTTTCACATCCTTGTAGCCTTGTAAACCTTGTGGTTTACGGCTACGCATTTCTTCAAAATACTTACCACAGTTCTGTTTGCTCTCTCCACTTGGCCTGAGGCCTGTGGGTGGTAGCCAACATGGAAGTTGACTTTGATGCCTAGCATCTTCCACAGTTCTTTCATCACTTCAGCTGTGAAGTGTGTACCTTGGTCTGAGTTCACCCTGAGGGGAAGTCCAAACCTTGAAAATACATGATTCATTAGTAACATAGCAGTTGTTTGTGCTGTGTCGTTAGGAGCTGGTAGGCATTCTACCCATTTGGTAAATGCGCAAGTTACCGTGAGAAAATATTTATTTCCTCTAGTGCTCTTAGTAAGTGGTCCAACCCAGTCGATCTGGAGGTTGGACCATGGGAATGCAATGCCTCTATTTTGCAGTGGTGCTCTGTGGAGTGGTCTGGATAGCTGAAACTGGCCACAGACCAGGCACCCTTTTATGTAGTACTTGACATCCTTTTTCATTCCAGGCCAATAAGCAACTTGTTTTAATGCTTTCAGCGTGGCGTTATCTCCCTTGTGTCCTGCGGACGGAGGTCATGCGCATGAACTAACATCACCCCCCTGTGGTCATGGGGGACCACGAACACGGGTGAGGACATCGGTCCATGAGCAAAAGTTAGGATGCCCTTGATTAGTTTTAGCTGTTTGCGCAACTGAAAGAGGACTTTAAGGTCTGGATTGGAATTCAGGTCGGCTTCGGACGGAGTGTTTCTCTCTGGGTCAGTCAAGTACAGCATCATCGAGTTTATCACAGGATCCGACTTCTCAAGTTTGATAATGTCTGGGTCAGTCATCACTGGTTGTACAGAGACTGTGTTGTCAGCCGGCTTGGCTGCAGCCTGTGCACGTGTGACTGCCATTACCTCGGCTGTAGGTTGTACTGAGAGTTGCGAGCAGCCAGGAGGGGTCAAAGGACCACTGAGGGCCGTCCACGGCTCCGTCCTTGGCTAGGAAGTCTGCAAGGTCATTATACCGCTTGTCATCGCCTAGGACTCTTTGAATGTCCTGGAACCTTTTTCCAGAAGACCTGTAGGT